GCACCGCCAGGGGGCCACGGCTGCGCGAGCCCACGCCTTGGGGGGCGAGGAGGCGGACGCCGAGCTGGAGCAGTTGCTGGTGCTAGACGACCTGCCGGACAGCCTGCGCCAGGCCGAGGAGCGCGCGAAAGCCTTCGACATGGTCGACGCGAGCTTCACGGACCCAGAGGCGCGGCATATCGTCGAGTCATTCCCCTGGCGGGGCCCAGCGAACAATCTGAGGTTGGAGGGTCTTGCTTTGTCCAACGCCCTTCGGCATCTCATTCGAGATCAGAAAGCCTTCGGACATCGGGTGCTTCTCCTGGTCGACAACCTCGGGCTGGCCCTTGCGGCCGGAAAGGGCCGATCCTCGGCCTTCCAGCTTAGGGGCATCCTTCGGGGGATCAGCGCCCCCACCCTGGCTCGCTGCCTCCACGCGCGTGTCCGCTGGGCCCCGTCCGAGAGGAATCTGGCGGATAACCCTTCGCGAGGCCTGTGCTTTCTCAAGCCGCAGCTGGAGGAGGAGGGTGCCAAGCTGGAGTCTGCCTCTGCTGGCGATAAGCGTGGGGGGGCTGCCAGCCGTGCCAGAGTTCCCGAGCTTCGGCGCAGGCCAGGAACAGTCGGTCTCGCACGCGAAGCAGGACGGAGCTGGATGCCCCCCAAGACGACTGGATAAAGATGATCGGCATCATGTCGACTGCAGCGGCGGCCGCCAGGAGGACTTGGTGCCACGCGCCATCACCCGAGTCGGCGCCCCTCCGGGGCTCGTGCCCGCCGTCCTTCCTGGAGTCGAGGTCAGTGGCGAAGGCGACCTTCGCGGATTACCAGAGGAGAGCCAAGGCTTTTCTGGGATGGGCGCTACAGGCAGGGTTGAGCTGGACCTCAGTCGAAGAGCTCGACCTGGCGCTGGTGCTGCACATGGACAGGCTATTCTTCCTGGGGTGCGCTGGGGACGTGGCCAGCAAGACCTTTGCTGCGGTCAAGTTCTATTATCCGGAGGTCGGCAGGCACGGTCCGCAGGGCTTGCCGCTGGCGACCAGGGCGCTGGCTGGCTGGGCCAAGGTGGTTCCGCGGGCAACGCGGATGCCTGTGCCGTGGCTCCTGGCGGCGGCGCTGGCGGGGCACCTCTTGTCGCGGGGCCTGCTGGAGCACGCTGTCGCGCTGCTGCTGGCGTTCAAGGAGTGCCTCTCCGTGCTCGAGCGGCGCAGGCAGCGCGTGACGGACAGGCTGTGGAGCTTTGCACGCGACGACCTGTCGATGGAGATGCAGGTGTCAGCGGAGGCCCTCGGCCTGGGCCAGATGGGTTTGACCGTCTACGGCCTGCGGCGCGGCGGGGCCTCTCACGACCCGTTGACGAAGGCGCGCTCGGCGCTAGAGGTCAAGTTCAGAGGAAGGCGGCGCTCAGATGCGATGCTGACAAGGTACGGCGAGGAGGCAAGAGCGCTGGCAGAGCTGCACAAGGCCCCAGCCCAGACGCTCGAGTTCGGGCGGCGCATCGCCGCCAGGCTGGAGGCGATCTTCCTCAAGCGCGAGGGCCTGCCTCCGCTGCCGGCGCTTCCTCTGGGGCCTCGCTCAGTGACGCCGAAGTCAGGGCGAGGATGCGGCGAGTGCTGAGGAGGGCGCTTGCCTCCGCTCAAGTCTCTAGGAAGCAGTTTTTCTGGAACTTTACTCGGGCCAGGGGGGCATCTCCAAGGCGATGCGAAACCTCGGTTTGGGGGTCGTGTCGGTCGACATTTTAAAGCTCCCCTGGTTCAGTCTGGATAGGCTTTGCATTCAGCAGATGGTGCGGGGGTGGATTACGGGGGGCGTCGTCGTCGGTCTCTGGATGGGGACTCCTTGCTGCTCCTGGTCTCAGGCTAGGCGTGGGCCCCCGAACAGTAGTTGGTGCCGTCTCAGGAGCCCTTCTCATTTGTGGAGTTTACCCAACCTCAGTCAGCGTGCTCGCCTAGCCTGTGAGAAGGGCAACTCTCAGCTCAAGTTATGCCTCTCCTTGATTCGTGCCTGCCGGAGCAACCATGTTCCAGCGGCTTTGGAGAATCCCGGTAGCAGCTACATTTGGCAAACAGCTCAACTTTCCCGCCTTTCAAGGCGGCTAGATAGCCATCAGTGTATTGTGGATTTTTGCGCCCTCGGAGCCCGCTGGCGGAAACGCACCCGCGTCCAGGTCTGGAGTTCTAGTTTTCGGATTTCCCTCCCAAGGGCCTGTCGCGGGCGTTCGGGCCAGTGTAATTTTACAGGCAAGCGCCACATCATCCTTTCGGGCCGTGACCCAAACTCGGGCAAATTCTGGACCAATGCTGAGCCTTACCCCGGTCGTTTTTGTGTCCTGTTTGCCCAAGCGTTGGAGCAGGCTATCCAGTCACTGAAGTTGAGCCGACTCCGACAAATAGTTAGTTGCGGCTACTGCCAGAATCCCATTCGGGGTGACTTGGGTTTCTCTCTTCCTCTCTCGTTCGGTGTGGTGTTGTGTTGTGGTGTGTGCTTGTGCCGTGTGCGTCGTGCCGTTCGTTCGCCCCCCTCCCCTCCGCCGAGCTTGGAGCGTGGCCCGCCCTGTCCTGCTCGACCTGCCTGGCCTGAGACACGCAAAATGTCCTGGTCTGGTTAAGCGTCGCGATGGGGAGTTCTAGAACAGTAATCGCAGAGCGTGGGAGGGCCGCGCGGTGCTTGCATCTGCCACCGCCCCGGCCCAAGCCTTTTTCGGGACCCGCCCGCTGCCTCCCTTCTTTTCCTTTTTCCTCTCTCGTTCGGTGTGGTGTTGTGTTGTGGTGTGTGCTTGTGCCGTGTGCGTCGTGCCGTTCGTTCGCCCCCGTCCCCTCCGCCGAGCTTGGAGCGTGACCCGCCCTGTCCTGCTCGACCTGCCTGGCCTGAGACACACAAAATGTCCTGGCCTGGTTAAGCGTCGCGATGATGATGCTGATGCTGCTGACTATGATGATGACGCAGATGCTGATGGTGGCGCTGCTGACGCTTATGATGATGACGATGATGGTGGTGATGATGCTGATGATTATGATGATTCTTACGATGGTGGTGATGGTGATGCTGATGATGATGATGATGGTGATGATTACGATGCTGTCTGTCTTCCGTGTTGACGAATGTGATGACGTCGAGGATAGCGATGGCGATACGCATATTTTGATGATGCAGGTGATGATGGTGATGATGACGATGATGCAGTTGTTGATGGTGATGATGGTGATCGTGGTGATGATTCTGCTGATGCTGATGATGATGGTGATGATGATGATGATGCTGATGATGGTGATGGCGACGGTGATGGTGATGATGATGGTGATGGTGATGGTGATGGCGATGGTAATGGTGATGGTGATGTTGATTGTGGTGTTCGTGACGCTGCTGTTGGTGATGGTGACGGGGAGGAGGGGGAGGAAGAGGAAGAGGAGGAGGAGGAGAAGGAGGAGGATGAGGAGGAGGAGGAGGTGGAGGAGGCGGATAAAGCTCGTTTGGGCCGTTGTATGGCTGCCTTGGCCCATTGTGCGGCAGTCTTGAGGATCACGTTGAGCCCTCTTTGGCCGTCTTGGGGCCCTCTCACGCCGACTTTGCGCTCTCTTGGGCCGTCTTGATGCCCTCGTCTGGAGGGTGTCGTGAGGCCGACTAGGCACCGTCTTGGGCCGTCGAAGGGCCTTCGCAGCTCGCCTTGGGTCCCACGGGAGGCCGTCTTGGATGCCTCTTGGGCCATCGTCGAGTCCTCTTTGGTTGTCTTAAGCTGGCGGCAGCCCGAAAACGCGAGAATTCACGAGCCCAAAAGGACATGCATGATTTTGGCTTCCTCGGACCCTGTTGGAGGTCCTCTTGTGGCCATTGTGGGCCCTCTTGGAGGCATCTCGGGCCGTCTTGAATCAATGTTCGGCCGCCTTGGGGTCATCTTGAGCCGTCTGGGTTCTCTTGGTTGCATGCACGGGCCGACTTGGACGCTCGTGACGCGTATCCGCAGAGCTTATCGAGGGATCCTGGCTTGGGAGGCCCTGGAGCGCTCGGGAGCAGCGCCTGGGACTCTGGGAAGTGCACGGTCCTCGAGCGGGTGCGCGTGGGGTGAGGGGTCCAGGAGTCCAGGAGTTTGCAGCCATGCGGAGCGCATAAAAGTTGAGAGATCGTGCATGCAAAGAGGGGTCAGGCATTAGCCGCCATGCGGGAAGCGCACCATCCTCGAGCGGGCACGCGAGGAGGGGGGGGGTGATTGGGCACTCGCTGCCATGCGGGACGTGTGCCGTCCTCGAGCGGGCACCAGGGAAGTGGCCTCGGAAAGGAGGGGCGATGCATGCAGCAGTCCGCGGGCAGGGGGGGGGCGGTCCCTTGCCAGATGGCCAGGCACCCTACCAGAGGGATCTCGGCCTTCGTCCGTGCCTCAACGTGCCGGGGGGGCACGGTCTCAGCTTTTGCACGCCTGTGCTCTAGAGCTCAGGGCGCTTTGTGTTAGTGGCACGTGGTTCGTCGCCCGCCCCCCCTCCCCCCATGGCCCCTCTCCTGACCTCCCTGGCAGGTTTTTTTCCCTGGCCGTCGCCCTGACCCTGGTCGTCGGCCCCAAGGTCCTCCTGTCCCTCGCTGCCCCCCCCCGTGCAAGAGCCAGGGCACGCGCGCCAGCTTGTTACAAGAACTCATGCGGAGGGGGGGAGGGGGGGCGCTTCCTGCGGGGTGCCCAGGGCCAATCATTGAGCGAACCAGCGGTGGCTCTGGCGCTGGCCTTGCGTGAGCGCAATGCCTTATATCGGCACCGTCTAACTGCTCCCCATGCCGACGGGGCCATGGTATCTCGGCCCGACCAGCCCCCACCCTCATCATCAGGCTGAGACTAATTCCGCACAGTCCGAAGGGAACGGAATCTAGTCCCACTCGGGAGGGGTAAGTCGGCCAGTGGGGCCAAGCCCATGCCAGTGGGGAGAGGGACTGGTAAAACGATACTCATAATAGAAAACATCGGCGCTGGCGGGCTTTTCATGCTATTTCACATTCAAACATGGTGCGGATGGATATTCATGGTTTCCCGCCCACGACAGGAGGCCGACGCTTTGAAGACGCAGCTCGAGGCGGGCCTGTCCTCGCAGATCGCCAGCCTCGAGGCCGCGCTGCGCTCGCGGACGGAAGAGGCCGGGCGGGGGCAGCAGCTTCTGGAGGAGAGGGAGTTGTCGGAGAAGAAGCTGCAGGCGGCTCTGGCTGCTCAGCGGGAGGAGGTCGCGCAGGAGAGGCGGCGGCTGCAGGAGGCGGAGAGCTCGCAGCAGCGGACGGAGGCCAGCCTCACCTCGCAGGTCGCCGACCTGGAGGCGGCCCTGAGCTCGCAGCGAGAGCTGCTGGCCAGGGAGGGCGAGCAGAGCCGGCTGAAGCTGCAGGAGGCCGACGCTTTGAAGACGCAGCTCGAGGCGGGCCTGTCCTCGCAGATCGCCAGCCTCGAGGACGCGCTGCGCTCGCGGACGGAAGAGGCCGGGCGGGGGCAGCAGCTTTTGGAGGAGAGGGAGGGCAGCTGCTCGCTGAGAAGCAGCTGCAGCAGCGAGCTGTCTGCAGGCGGCTCTGGCTGCTCAGCGGGAGGAGGTCGCGCAGGAGAGGCGGCGGCTGCAGGAGGCGGAGAGCTCGCAGCAGCGGACGGAGGCCAGCCTCACCTCGCAGGTCGCCGACCTGGAGGCGGCCCTGAGCTCGCAGCGAGAGCTGCTGGCCAGGGAGGGCGAGCAGAGCCGGCTGAAGCTGCAGGAGGCCGACGCTTTGAAGACGCAGCTCGAGGCGGGCCTGTCCTCGCAGATCGCCAGCCTCAAGGACGCGCTGCGCTCGCGGACGGAAGAGGCCAGGCGGGGGCAGCAGCTTCTGGAGGAGAGGGAGTTGTCGGAGAAGCAGCTGCAGGCGGCTCTGGCTGCTCAGCGGGAGGAGGTCGCGCAGGAGAGGCGGCGGCTGCAGGAGGCGGAGAGCTCGCAGCAGCGGACGCAGGCCAGCCTCACCTCGCAGGTCGCCGACCTGGAGGCGGCGACGGGGTAAGTTAACCAAACAGAAGACGTGTTTAACCACACAGAGCTGGTATCCGTAAAAACACGTCGCTAAAAACACGTCGCTAAAACACGTCGCTTAAACACGTCGCTGTAGGGCCTATAGAGGTTGCGGGAGTAGTGGAAATAGTAGTGGTGGTAGTAGTGGTGGTAGTAGTGGTGGTAGTAGTGGTAGTAGGATTTGTGGTAGTAGTGGAAATAGTAGTGGTGGTAGTAGTGGTAGTTGTAGTGGTGGTAGTGGTGGAAATAGTCGTGGTGGTAGTAGTGGAAATAGTAGTGGTGGTAGTAGTGGTGGTAGTAGTGGTAGTAGTAGTGGTGGTAGTAGTGGAAATAGTCGTGGTGGTAGTAGTGGTAGTAGTAGTGGTGGTAGTAGTGGAAATAGTCGTGGTGGTAGTAGTGGTGGTAGGAGTGGTGGTAGTAGTGGAAATAGTAGTGGTGGTAGTAGTGGTGGTAGTAGTGGTAGTAGGAGTGGTGGAAGTAGTGGTAGTTGGAGTGGTGGTAGGAGTGGTGGTCGTAGTGGTAGGAGGAGTGGTGGTCGTAGTGGTAGTAGGAGTGGTGGTAGTAGTGGTAGTAGGAGTGGTGGAAGTAGTGGTAGTAGGAGTGGTGGGGTCGTAGTGGTAGCAGGAGTGGTGGTCGTAGTGGTAGTAGGAGTGGTGGTCGTAGTGGTAGTAGGAGTGGTGGTAGGAGTGGTGGTCGTAGTGGTAGTAGGAGTGGTGGTCGTAGTGGTAGTAGGAGTGGTGGTAGTAGTGGTAGTAGCAGTGGTAGTAGTAGATGCAGCAGTGGTGGTGGTGGTGGTGGTGGTAGTAGTGGTAGGAGTCGTAGCCGTGGTGGTGCAGCAGTGGTGGTGGTGGTGGTCGTCGTAGTGGTCGTAGTCGTGGTCGTAGTGGTGGTCGCAGTCGCGGTCGGAGTCGTGGCTGCGGCGGTGCCAAAAACACGTCGCTAAAACACGCCGCTAAAACACGTCGCTAGATCCATATTGAGCTATCGTGGGCCATCTTGGAGGCCTCTTGGGCTCTCGGAGGCCCTCTTGGAGCCATCTTGGGCCAAAAAGGACGCTTTGACGCCTCGCGGCCCGCTCCCTCCAGGCCCAGGGGAGGGGGTCCCTCCCCCGAGCAGAGGAAGGAGGATTTTTGAGCAGTAAGAAGACGCAGTTGGCTGAACCACTTACGCCCAGAGGGCTGCCGGGATTGCAAGCGGACAACAAGCCAACTCCCCACCCCGACAACCTTCTGCAGTGCCGAGTTTTAGCGACGTGTTTTAGCGACGTGTTTTAGCGACGTGTTTTAGCGACGTGTTTTAGCGACGTGTTTTAGCGGCGTGTTTCAGCGACGTGTTTTAGCGACGTGTTTCAGCGGCGTGTTTCAGCGACGTGTTTTTATGGAGAGCTCCGTTTGGTTAACCCCCACTCTCGGAGGCGGCCCTGAGCTCGCAGCGGGAGCTGCTGGCCAGGGAGGGCGAGCAGAGCCGGCTGAAGCTGCAGGAGGCCGACGCTTTGAAGACGCAGCTCGAGGCGGGCCTGTCCTCTCAGATCGCCAGCCTCAAGGACGCGCTGCGCTCGCGGACGGAAGAGGCCGGGCGGGGGCAGCAGCTTCTGGAGGAGAGGGAGCTGTCGGAGAAGCAGCTGCAGGCGGCTCTGGCTGCTCAGCGGGAGGAGGTCGCGCAGGAGAGGCGGCGGCTGCAGGAGGCGGAGAGCTCGCAGCAGCGGACGCAGGCCAGCCTCACCTCGCAGGTCGCCGACCTGGAGGCGGCCCTGAGCTCGCAGCGGGAGCTGCTGGCCAGGGAGGGCGAGCAGAGCCGGCTGAAGCTGCAGGAGGCCGACGCTTTGAAGACGCAGCTCGAGGCGGGCCTGTCCTCGCAGATCGCCAGCCTCAAGGACGCGCTGCGCTCGCGGACGGAAGAGGCCGGGCGGGGGCAGCAGCTTCTGGAGGAGAGGGAGCTGTCGGAGAAGCAGCTGCAGGCGGCTCTGGCTGCTCAGCGGGAGGAGGTCGCGCAGGAGAGGCGGCGGCTGCAGGAGGCGGAGAGCTCGCAGCAGCGGACGAAGGCCAGCCTCACCTCGCAGGTCGCCGACCTGGAGGCGGCCCTGAGCTCGCAGCGGGAAGCGAGCAGAGCCGGCTGAAGCTGCAGGAGGCCGACGCTTTGAAGACGCAGCTCGAGGCGGGCCTGTCCTCTCATCGCCAGGACGCGCTGCGCTCGCGGACGGAAGAGGCCGGGCGGGGGCAGCAGCTTCTGGAGGAGAGGGAGCTGTCGGAGAAGCAGCTGCAGGCGGCTCTGGCTGCTCAGCGGGAGGAGGTCGCGCAGGAGAGGCGGCGGCTGCAGGAGGCGGAGAGCTCGCAGCAGCGGACGCAGGCCAGCCTCACCTCGCAGGTCGCCGACCTGGAGGCGGCCCTGAGCTCGCAGCGGGAGCTGCTGGCCAGGGAGGGCGAGCAGAGCCGGCTGAAGCTGCAGGAGGCCGACGCTTTGAAGACGCAGCTCGAGGCGGGCCTGTCCTCGCAGATCGCCAGCCTCAAGGACGCGCTGCGCTCGCGGACGGAAGAGGCCGGGCGGGGGCAGCAGCTTCTGGAGGAGAGGGAGCTGTCGGAGAAGCAGCTGCAGGCGGCTCTGGCTGCTCAGCGGGAGGAGGTCGCGCAGGAGAGGCGGCGGCTGCAGGAGGCGGAGAGCTCGCAGCAGCGGACGGAGGCCAGCCTCACCTCGCAGGTCGCCGACCTGGAGGCGGCCCTGAGCTCGCAGCGGGAGCTGCTGGCCAGGGAGGGCGAGCAGAGCCGGCTGAAGCTGCAGGAGGCCGACGCTTTGAAGACGCAGCTCGAGGCGGGCCTGTCCTCGCAGATCGCCAGCCTCAAGGACGCGCTGCGCTCGCGGACGGAAGAGGCCGGGCGGGGGCAGCAGCTTCTGGAGGAGAGGGAGCTGTCGGAGAAGCAGCTGCAGGCGGCTCTGGCTGCTCAGCGGGAGGAGGTCGCGCAGGAGAGGCGGCGGCTGCAGGAGGCGGAGAGCTCGCAGCAGCGGACGGAGGCCAGCCTCACCTCGCAGGTCGCCGACCTGGAGGCGGCCCTGAGCTCGCAGCGGGAGCTGCTGGCCAGGGAGGGCGAGCAGAGCTGGCTGAAGCTGCAGGAGGCCGACGCTTTGAAGACGCAGCTCGAGGCGGGCCTGTCCTCTCAGATCGCCAGCCTCAAGGACGCGCTGCGCTCGCGGACGGAAGAGGCCGGGCGGGGGCAGCAGCTTCTGGAGGAGAGGGAGCTGTCGGAGAAGCAGCTGCAGGCGGCTATGGCTGCTCAGCGGGAGGAGGTCGCGCAGGAGAGGCGGCGGCTGCAGGAGGCGGAGAGCTCGCAGCGGCGGACGGAGGCCAGCCTCACCTCGCAGGTCGCCGACCTGGAGGCGGCCCTGAGCTCGCAGCGGGAGCTGCTGGCCAGGGAGGGCGAGCAGAGCCGGCTGAAGCTGCAGGAGGCCGACGCTTTGAAGACGCAGCTCGAGGCGGGCCTGTCCTCGCAGATCGCCAGCCTCAAGGACGCGCTGCGCTCGCGGACGGAAGAGGCCGGGCGGGGGCAGCAGCTTCTGGAGGAGAGGGAGCTGTCGGAGAAGCAGCTGCAGGCTATCGCCCCGCTTCTCGCTGAGCGCCTGTCGTGACGTCGTGCGCAGAGCGAGCCTCATGGGAAAGTCCAGCGCGCGAGCCGACGTGCTGGTGTGCGTGCGGGATGTGTCTGTGTGCAAGTGGCTGGTGTGCGTGTGTGTACGCGCTCGTGCTTTTTGAGAGAACGTTGGAATTCACTTGGGGCTTCTCGGGTGTCTGGCGGGTCTTCGGGGATACCGGTAACAGTCGGCGAACGGCGGCGGGTGTCTGTAATTGAATCCCATGCTATGGAGTTCACGCGTGCCGTCCTGGGCCAGATGGAACGCATGATGCCGGCGTACCCGCACACCCACCTCGACGGTGCCTTTGAGGGCCTCTTCCTACTCATCCTCCACGGCCGCGCCGCCTCCGAGATGGCGTGCAGCGCAGAGGCCCTGCGCGCAGAGAGGTGAGCGCAGCACAGTCGTGCCGCGGCTGCCGCATGTGCTCTTGGTTTCTTACAGCGATCTCCTGGCACCCACGCGCACTGCAGAGCTGAGCTGAAGCTCAGTATGACAGGTTCGTGTCGTGTCGGCGGCGACCCCGCCGAGGGCGTTCAAGGTTGGACGCCTCCTCTGGCCCAGAATCGGCCAATATGGAGAGATCTGGCGATCGAAAAGCCGCCGATCGTTCAACGATCTACGCAGTGTCAGAAACCCACGATCAGGTCGTCACGACACGCACCTGCCGTACCCCGTTCTCCTTGTGGAATTGTTGCTTTCGGGCGTGCCGGCGCATACTCGCGCGACCTCAGAGACAGCGTGCTTCAGTCTGTGGGGCCTTGCTCGATGGCCCTCTGGCCAGCTCCAGAAATCATGGGCACGCCATCGAGGGGGGGTCTGCTCTTGTCTTTGCTGGTGTCCGCTTGTCTTCTGCGGGCTTCTGTCGGCGGAGCCGCTCCCGCTTTGCTTCCGCCTGTCTCCGCGGGTTGGCCGCTGGCGCCCTGCGAGCCGAGGGCGAGCTGCCAGCGGTTATCTGAAGAGGAGGCCGTCTCAGGAGCGCCCTGTGGTTGTTGGTGCGTCTGGGGGCCTGGAGTGCACCTCGGTCGGCCCCGCTGACCCCACTTCGGTCGGCACTTTCCAGAAGTTCAAAAAGACGCCGGAGTGGGGTCCGGCGGACGAGGCACATGTCATACTTGGGTCCCAGCGCGCAGTGCCTTTCCCAGCGTACTTCTGGGCGCAAATCCAAGCAAACGCATAGTCAATATGTCGCCGCGCCGTTTGTTCCGACGCGCGGCCTTCATTATTTGAGAAGGCGCGCGTGTTTCGTGCCCTGAGTGCTGCACCCATTCGCAGGGAGGTAAGCACGCAGACTCACACACACACACACATACACACACGAACACACGAACACACACACACAAAAGAACACACACACACACGGCAAACGTGGCCCGCTGCGTCGCTTCCGCGGTTCGGACTCGGCCGCGCGCTGGAGGGACAACGCGTGTGTGTGTGTGTGTGTGTGTGTGTGTGTGTGTGCTTGTGTATGTACTGGCCCTGCTGCGTCCTCCATCTGCAACGTCGGGCTGAATTGACGCTAAGCGTGCTCCGCCTTAGCCCTCGCTGCTGCAGTGACGTCGCTCGTCTACTGGCGGGAGCACGTGTTTTTGCGTGTGCGTGTGCGTGTGCGTGTGCGTGCGTGCGTGCGTGCCGCGCGTGCGTTCGCGTGCGTGAGCGTACGTGCGAACGCGTGCGTGCGTGCGTGCGTGAGTGCGTGCGTTCTTGCGTGCGTGCGCGCGCGCGTGCTTGCGTGCGTGCGTGCGTGCGTGCGTGCGTGCGTGCGTGTGTATGTGTGTGTGTGAGTGTGTGTGTGTGTGTGTGTGTGCGTGCGTGCGTGCGTGCGTGCGTGCGTGCGTGCGTGCGTGCGTGCGTGCGTGCGTGCGTGCGTGCGTGCGTGCGTGCGTGCGTGCGTGCGTGTGCGTGCGTGCGTGTGTGTGTGTGTGTGTGTGTGTGTGCGTGCGTGCGTGCGTGCGTGCGTGCGTGCGTGCGTGCGTGCGTGTGTGTGCGTGTGCGTGTGCGTGTGCGTGTGCGTGTGCGTGTGTGTGTGTGTGTGTGACATGGTTCCCTTGCACCCTTGCTGCCTCACGTCCGGGTACGCGTATGGCATGGCCGATCCTTTGGATCCCTGCTCCATCTCTCTCGGGCCCGCCGGGCCACGAGCACGCCCTCCGCTGGGGACCTTCTCCGCCTCGTCGCTGCGCGCGAGGCCGCGACCGCCAAAACGTGTTTGTGTGTGTGTTGTGTTTGTGTGTTGCATGGGTCACGGCTTGGCGTGTGCCGATTCGCTTGTACGCATCTGCGGCCAGCCCCATCCAGCGTTGCCGCTTCCGCTCTCGACTGTGTCGGGCCCCGAGCCATTCCAGGGACCAGCCCAGGCGCCCAGCATGAGATCGTGCCGCCTCGGCCGCTCCTGCCTGGTGGCCTCTGCGCCGCGCGCCCCGATTCTCTCTTCAGGGGTGGCAGCGGTGTTATCCTCTCACCGTGAACCTGCTGCCGGGTCGTTGACCTATTGCCGGCTCCGCTGCCGGTGGGTTCCGTCGCGTTCTCGCCGCGGGAACAGCGGTGACGTGCATCTCTGGCGAGTATTTCACTCGGAGCGCCGGCCACATTTGCATCCTTGACTCTACGCCACGGCGCGGGCGCAGGCCGCGCCTGCGAGTGAGTCCGGTGCTCCCCCTCTCAGAGGAGGAAGAGGCACGATTTTGCTACCCATCCATCGTTTTCGCCTTGTTGTGCCTCCTCTGAGGCCCTCGTCGCCACAGCTGGATCCGCGTCGAAATTCTGGTCAGACCGCACCCTGGGAGCAGTCTGGGGAGTATCGGTTTCGGTACCTTTGCGTTTCCCCGCATGTCGGAGGTTCCCAAGAGCGCTTCGCCGAGCATCGTCTCACCTATCCCCATCCCCAATGGGCCATGGTATCTCAGCTCCACCAGCCCACCCCCCCTGGGGTCGGGATACACCCTGCGAAATGCTTAAGAAATCATGGGTTAAGAAATTCATAGTCTCAGAACTTGAATAAAAAACCCACCATTTCTGTTAAAATCTTGAGATTTACATTGAAACGTTAAGAATAATCGAGACTCTGGCTGAAAATTTCAGTTTTCTTAAGCATCGCCTAAGGTGTAGGCCCCCCGAAGCCCGACCTAAACAGCACGTATCCCCATACGGTGTTAAGCCGGCCAGTTGGGCCAAGGCCATGCGGGTGCGATGGGAATCGGTTGCACAATGCCCATTCGCCTCCGAGAAGCCGTAGGGCTGACCTCGCCCCTGGCGAGCAGGAGGCCCGCGGAGAAACCTGCCGGAGCAGAGATCGGGGGCGGCTCCGCGGGGCGGCGGCCGGCGGACGGCTGGTGGGTTGTTTGCGGGAGTATACAGTGGCCCCCCCACAGAGGCCAGGGCCAGCGCACCCATGTCAGGGGAGGGAAAACCACCCCGACCCCGACAATTGGCGTTTACGAAACGACCCTGGGCGTTTACTAAACGGCCCTGCCCTGTTCGGTTCCTTCCTTGGGTGCGTTTACTGAACGGCTTCGCTTGTCGGGGTGCTTATTATGGGGGTGGGTTTTCTGCTCTCTACCATGGCTTCCGGAGTCAGCCGTTCTTCAGAGGAGAAGCAGGACCACCGCCATCGAGAACCTATCGGGGGGGGGCCGACCCCTTGGGCGGTGGCACGCCTGAGCGTCGTTCTGTACTGGGTGACGCTCAGGCGTGCCACCGTGGAGGGGTCGCCCCCCCCCCCGATGAGTTCTCGGTGGCGGTGGTCCCTGTTTCTCCTCTGATCTCTGGCCGGTCTGTGCGGTCAGCGACCACCTGCTGACGCAGCTCGCAGCAGCGAAAGGCGAAGGGCCTCCCCCCCAGAGAGAGAGAGAGAGAGAGGGGAGGGGAGGGGAGGGGAGGGGAGGAGAGGAGAGGAGAGGAGAGAATATCACAGGAGAGTGAGCGATGTATCTGGCCAGGCGGCCCTTGCTGCACAGCGGGAGGAGGCCGCGCAGGAGAGGCGACGGCTGCATGAGGCGGAGAGCTCGAAGCAGCAGGTGGAGGCCAGCCTCACCTCGCAGGTCTCGAGGAACACCATAATAACATAAACGTACACATGAGCGTTCGGAGGTCCGCGCGGATTTCTCGGATCGGGGCTGGGCCCCATTGGCGGCGCCTCAGGAGCCACCGCTGGCGCGCTGCGCGCGCCAGGGAGGGGGGATCCAGCAAGGATCCAAGAAATCCGCGCGGACCTCCGAAAGTTTATGCTTACACCGATGCCGCTACTCCCCAGGCGAATCCAGCCTTGGCGACGCGGGCCTCCCAGGAGGCCCGAACAGGCGAAACGGAGGCGAACCTCCGAAAGTTAAAATGCTTGTGCAGATGTTTGTTCCTCTGAGGTCGCCACCCTCGAAGCGGCCATGGGCTCGCAGAGGGAGCTGCTCGCCAGGCAGGGCGAGCAGAGCCTGCTGAGGCAGCAGGAGGCGGACTCCGCGAGGGCGCTGCTGGAGGACACGCGGCCGCCCCGCCTCTCGCGGGGGTCCCCAAGGGCTTAACGGCTCTTGTCCAATCGACGCGCGGGGATCGAGCCAGGTGAATCCTGAGAAGCCCAGGTGGATTCACACGCATCTGTGTTGGGGAAACGTAAGACTCGAGAAAGCCGGAACTCGGGTTTGCCGACGTTTTTTTGACGAGGACATCCTGGATTTTGACGGTCCGATTTTCGTGGGATGTTTGCATCGGGAGCTCGCGTCAAAGTTCCGATTGGGCTTCGTCATTTTATGATGGCCCCGTCAGGCCAAACCGAGTCCCACGTACACGAGTCTTACGTCTCCCCGACTGTGCAGCTCCAAGCATAAATCGATGCGAGTCCAGAGATATCCGGGACAAAGGCAGGTCGTGGACGCGCCAGCGCGAGTCGAGGGGCAGCAGAAGACGACGAGCCTTCAACGAGTGGTGGGGGTGGTCCCCGGGTGCCTGGGGCCCTCGGGACTGCCCCAAACCCCTGCAGGTTGTGGCAAAATCACGGCGGCAGGTTTTTCTCGTTTTGAGAAGGGCTCCGACGATGGCGCGAAGTTGTTCGCGCTTCGCGATTCGGCTCTGCCTCCTCCGCCTCCTCCTCATCTCGCTTCTCCCGAGGTGGGGGGGGCGGCGCGACAGCGCGAAGCTCTTCGCGCTTCACGAAGCGCGAGAGCGCGAAGTTCGGAGCCCATGCTTCACAGGGCGAAGAGCCGGTCCCGGGGGAGTGGTCGAGACTCGGGGCTCAAGAAACGGGGGCCAATGCAAACGGGGTCAGCCATAGCGCCGGATCTTGCAGGGTCCTGCAGGGCCAGGGGTGCACTGACCCGGGCTTGGGTGCAGGATCTTGCAGGGTCTTGCAGGATCCTGCACAGCCTGCCTGACCCGGGTCAGGATGGACCCGGGCCAGCAGAGGTCCCCCAGGGACCCCTGGGGGGTCGACGCTGTGGAGCAGCCACGGCGTCGGGGGCCTGGCGCCCGCGGCGACCCTCGCAGAGGCCTGCCGCGGCTCTCGGCGCGGCTTTCGAAGGCGAGGCCGCGACGGGAAGAGCAGCGCCGGGCGCCACGCCTGAGAGGCGCCGTGTGGCTCCTGGCAGGGCCCGCACCGAGGGGGGCCTCTCGGTGCCTCCCTGCGCTGCCGGGGTGCCGCCGCGCCGGGCGCCCGGCGCGGCCCCGGTGGCCGCCCCGGGGGGCGCCCGTCGCTCGTCGGCGCCTCGTGCGCTGGCGGAGAGCTTCTGCGTCCTGGCCCGGGGGGGGCGGCTGTCGCCGTCTCATGTCTGGACGCCCGATATGGGTACGGAAAGAATGGGTACCATGCCCAACAACAATTCCTTTCCATTTTGAACAGGGTTCGCTGTCCACGCCGCCGCGGCCTGTGTCCATTCGAGACAGAAGGCCGCCTGCCCAACAGCGGCCGCTGTCGGTTTGGGACAACATTTGTTGTTGGGCATTGTACCCATTCTTTCCGTTCCCATTTCGGGCGTTCAAATCATGGGTTCTCGGGTGCCCGTCGCCACATCGTCGCCGCCTTGTCGCCGTCCCATAGCCTCAACTGCGCCGCCTCGTCGCGCGGTCCTCGAGGGTCGCTGCCTCGTCGCCGCCCGGAGCGCTGACTGGCGTTGCACCTCGCAGCTTGCGCCACAGAGACTGCTTCACCTAGAGCACAACAAGGATACTGCATGGCATGATCTTCGTGGACTACATAGACTGCATGTTTGCGCCACCGAGTTTGCAGCGCATAGGCTGCACCACATGGATTGCACCACGTAGATCGCTGCACTGGTCCACATGTTCACATTGCGCCACATTATCTGGCCCAAATTGCATGTGCATGGTATGTACATGCTACTGAAGTTCCACGCTGGCAAAGACATGCGGTGGCTTCAGTCAGTACTATTGGATCTGGGGTAGGCTTTTTTGGGAACAAGCGGGTCTCCATCCGTGCAGCTGTTGGGCAGTGTGAGTGCCGCGACCATGAACTTGAGTTGCCATCTAGGCCCATGCGAGGGCGCGGTGTTGAAGACGATCCGCCCTCCACCTGTGTATCTGCGTGCGTGTTTGTTTGCCCTCAGGGCCCAAAGTCACCTGGGACTCTCCGGTGAGCGCGATTTTGACAACGAGTCGCCCTCCACCTGGGTAGCAATTGTAAACGTGAAAATGTCTGGCGATACGCCCTGCCGACACGCCTTATGACTCGATGGGGGAGACGACGAGTATGGTAAAGATGCTAGGCGTGCGACCATGGCCACATTGCTCAACGTAACCGTCCAGCTCTCGCCCGGAGATGGAGGCCAAAGATGGCCAGAGTCCGATTGTGCAACAAGGGGCCAACGGTCGGACACGTTGTGGAAGAGGTCGGGTCGGGCCCCAGGGGCCCCAGAGGGGGCTCAGCCAATCCCCTCTGACCCCCTTCGGCTGATCCAGAAAAGCCCCTTTCCCTCAGCTGACCCGCGTTGTCCATGGCGGTTCTTTGTTGCACCTGACGAGGATCCAACGCGAATCCGACATGGACGCACGTGGACTCCAAGCGGATTCGACGCCGACTTGACGCGAATGTTGAGTTCAACCCAGTGGCTGAGACGGCGCATGTCTGGAGAAGCGCCCACAACGGTCGTCAGGTCGGCCCCAAGACTACGTTCGCTAAGGCGAAGGCAATCGTCAATTTAGCTCCAACACTTCGTTCGTCAAGACGAGAGGAGCCGTCAATACGGCCCATCCACTTTGTTCGTCAAGACCGATGTCGTTTTTTACCATCCGCTCGGCCCCGACGATTTGTTCGTCAAGACGGAGTGGGCGGCGGGGGGGGCCGTCAAGGGGGTTCATCAATTCTGAGGGGTCGTCAGCTTGGAGGGAGGCCGTCAGGGGGGTTCGTCAGCTTGGAGGGAGGCCGTCAAGGGCGCTCGTCAACTCGGAAAGGCCGTCCAGGGGGTTCGTCACCTCGGAGTTGACGGCCAAGTCTTTTCACTAACGGCCACAACCTGTCACTGAGGTGAAGTTGGCGGCTCAAGCGCCGGATAAAGTAATCATGGCCATCCGTCGTGGCGTCCAGGCCGATCTCAAGACCTGCCCCCCGAACACTTAGCAGGAAGCAAGCGCGTCCTGAGGGCAAGGGGTCCTGGACCCAGGGGCCTTCCCCGGGACGAGCTTTTCATCCCGAGTTGCCTTCTCAAAGTCTTGGGGCCCGTGAAGGCCCCGGGAGCTTAACAAAAACGGCGAGCAAACTCGGACCTGTATCTCGCAGGACCCGCTGGCCCTCCCCCGCGACATATGGCCCCAGCTGGCCCAGGCCATGTCGTGTCACGCGTCACCGCATGGGGCGGAGGGGCGGCTGCTCGCCTCTCATTGGGACGCCTGCGTCGGGAGGGGCGCGCGGCTTCCTGGCGCGGTGGGTCGCGCCGTAGCCGCGGAGTGCTTACAGTCTCAGACCCCGAAAACCATTGGGCAGAAATCAAGGCGGAGGTGTTTCTCCATGATGTGCCTCTGGGGGCCCTCTCCGGGCCCTAGGGCCGCCAAACAGCTAGTGGGATGATACATGGGCCCGAGGGAGAACTTCTGGGGACCGCACATGGAACAAAATCAAGACATTGGATGTCTGGGGTCAAGACGCTGAAATTAAGAACCATTTCGGGCCGCTCCTTAGATCTATAGGCCGGGGAGCCGACTCGAGGCCAATGCAGCCACCAAAGCCCTTCCATTCCTTCTTCGGCATTGCTTTTGCCAGCACGATAATCGCAGCTCGCCCCCCAGGGTCGCGAAAATCATCTCGCTTCGCGCGTCGCGGGCGGATGTGCTTCTTCCATGCCAGCGTTTTTCGACAAAGGGCCTCGGCCTCTGGGCCTCTGGGGTTTCGTTCTGGGCCTGGGGGCCGTCAGAGAACCGCTCGAGGAGGACCCGCGAGGAAGACCCGGCCCCGGGGGGGGAAGGAGTCGAGCGTTTCGGCGCCCCGCGTCGAGCAGTTCAGCTCGCCGGAGGTCTGAGGATGAGGAGAGCCCGAGGGGCCACATGTGCCAGGTCGGCAAGGAAAGCAGAGTCAAGGCGCTGAAAGAGGGACCGCGTTGGGTTCGGGAGGGGTTCCCTGTTTCTCGAGCTCTCATTCCCTGGTCGCTCCTCCAGCCCCCCTCGTGCACCCAGGCGCTTTGGGGGCACAGAAGGGGCTTCGTTCCTAATTTAGCGCTCCTCCTCCTCCTCCTCCTCCTCCTCCTCCTCCTCCTCCCTCCTCCCTCCTCCCTCCTCCCTCCTCCCTTCTCCCTCCTCCCTCCCCCCTCCTCCCTCCTCCCTCCTCCTCCTCCCTCCTCCTCCTCCTCCTCCTCCTCCTGCTCCTGCTCCTGCTCCTGCTCCTCCTCCTCCTCCTCCTCCTCCTCCTCGTCCCTCAAGCAACTTGGACTCGAGCAGTTGAAGGGGCCAAGGGGCCCCACCACTTCCTCGAGTCCGTCCCTGGGCTTCCCAGCAGCGCTTGAGGGACTGTGTCTTTTCTCGCACCTAGTTCAGAATAGACACCGACTAACACAGGGACAGAGATGGCAGGAGTTGAGAAACTCTGGACGAGGTGCACACATTGCCAGACTTGTGAATGGAATGCTATCCTCGCTCGCCGCCACAACACATGCAGCAGCTGCGGCTCAGAGGTCTCGCCCTTCCAGAAGCAGAGGCGTCCCATGCGAGTCCGTTTCGGCAGTGATTCATACGGTGACAGCGACGCCGAGGGCTTCTACGACGCCTTCAGCGGGAGCCAGACTGAGCGCACCCTGCCCCAGCCGCGCCCCCCAGGCATCCTGCGGGGCGGCACAGGCGGCGCAGGGGGAGGCAAGGGAGGCAAGGGCGGCACCTCGGTGAAGAACCTCCTGGAGCAGGCCCTCGCCGCAGCCCCCGGTGGCACGCTCAAGGCTGACTTCCAGGCACAGCTGGACAAGCTAGCCAAGGAGGAGAGCGGGCGTGAGGCGGCGAGGGTCACCCCAGCCGAGGCCCTACGCAGGGCCGATGGCGCGT